AGTGATTGTAAAAATTATAGAGGAATAAGTTTACTGAGTATACCAGGAAAAGTGTATGGTAGGGTTATAATTGAAAGAATTAGAGGCAAGACAGAATGTAGGATTGCAGATGTGCAAGGAGGTTTCAGAGTGGGTAGGGGATGTGTAGATCAAGTGTTTACATTGAAGCATATATGTGAACAGTATTTAGATAAAGGTAGGGAAGTTTTTATTGCATTTATGGATTTAGAAAAGGCATATGATAGAGTGGATAGAGGAGCAATATGGCAGATGTTGCAAGTATATGGAATAGGTGGTAAGTTATTAAATGCTGTAAAGAGTTTTTATGAGGATAGTGAGGCTCAGTTAGGGTGTGTAGAAGAGAGAGAGAGACTACTTCCCGGTAAAATTAGGTCTTAGACAGGGATGTGTAATGTCGCCATGGTTGTTTAATACATTTATAGATGGGGTTGTAAAAGAAGTAAATGCTAGGGTGTTTGGGAGAGGGGTGGATTTAAATTAAGGGAAATCAAATTCAGAATGGGAATTGACACAGTTACTTTTTGCTGATGATACTGTGCTTATGGGAGATTCTAAAGAAAAATTGCAAAGGTTAGTGGATGAGTTTGGGAATGTGTGCAAAGGTAGAAAGTTGAAAGTGAACATAGAAAAGAGTAAGGTGATGAGGGTATCAAATGATTTAGATAAAGAAAAATTGGATATCAAATTGGGGAGGAGGAGTATGGAAGAAGTGAATGTTTTCACATATGTACTTGGGAATTGACGTGTCGGCGAATGGATTTATGAAGGATGAGGTTAATCATAGAATTGATGAGGGAAAAAAGGTGAGTGGTGCGTTGAGGTATATGTGGAGTCAAAAAACGTTATCTATGGAGGCAAAGAAGGGAATGTATGAAAGTATAGTAGTACCAACACTCTTATATGGGTGTGAAGCTTGGGTGGTAAATGCAGCAGCGAGGAGACGGTTGGAGGCAGTGGAGATGTCCTGTCTAAGGGCAATGTGTGGTGTAAATATTATGCAGAAAATTCGGAGTGTGGAAATTAGGAAAAGGTGTGGAGTTAATAAAAGTATTAGTCAGAGGGCAGAAGAGGGGTTGTTGAGGTGGTTTGGTCATTTAGAGAGAATGGATCAAAGTAGAATGACATGGAAAGCATATAAATCTATAGGGAAGGAAGGCGGGGTAGGGGTCGTCCTCGAAAGGGTTGGAGAGAGGGGGTAAAGGAGGTTTTGTGGGCGAGGGGCTTGGACTTCCAGCAAGTGTGCGCGACCGTGTTAGATAGGAGTGAATGGAAACAAATGGTACTTGGAACCTGACGATCTGTTGGAGTGCGAGCAGGGTAATATTTAGTGAAGGGATTCAGGGAAACCGGTTATTTTCATATAATCGGACTTGAGTCCTGGAAATGGGAAGTACAATGCCTGCACTTTAAAGGAGGGGTTTGGGATATTGGCAGTTTGGAGGGATATGTTGTGCATCTTTATATGTATATGCTTCTAAACTGTTGTATTCTGAGCACCTCTGCAAAAACAGTGATAATTTGTGTGTGGTGAAAGTGTTGAATGATGATGAAAGTATTTTCTTTTTGGGGATTTTCTTTCTTTTTGGGTCACCCTGCCTCAGTGGGAGGCGGCCGATTTGTTAAAAAAAAAATTACTGCAATTCATTAACCCTTAAACTGTCCAAGCAGATCTATGTTCACATGCGTTGTGCTCCAAAAGTAGATCTACGTTTTTTTACATATTTTCAAATATATAAAAAAAAAAGTAGATCAAAGTTTTTTTACACGTTTTCAAATGTAAAAAAAGAAAAGAAGATCTACTTGTTTTACATACTTTCAAATGTTGAAAAAACATAGATCTACGTTTGGACAGTTTAAGGGTTAAATGGAGGTCCGTTAATTAGAGGTTTAATTGCATTATTATAATTATTATTATTATATTTATTATTATTATTTTTATATAGCCAGACTTGAGTCCTGGAAATGGGAAGTACAATGCCTGCACTCTAAAGGAGGGGTTCGGGATATTGACGGTTTGGAGTGATATGTTGTGTATCTTTATACGTATATGCTTCTAAGCTGTTGTGTTCTGAGCACCTCTGCAAAAACAGTGATTATGTGTGAGTGAGGCGAAAGAGTTGAATGATGATGAAAGTATTTTCTTTTTGGGATTTTCTTTCTTTTTGGGTCACCATGCCTCGGTAGGAGACGGCCGACTTTTTAAAAAAAAAAAAATATTCATGAGAAAGTGCTAGAACCCAAAGGGTTATACAGTGCTGTTCCAATACAATATTATTTCAACAGGTATGTAAAGGTGTGTAAAGGCAGAAAGTTGAAAGTGAACATTGAATAGAGTAAGGTGATGAGGGTATCAAACGATTTAGATAAAGAAAAATTGGATATCACATTGGACTGAGGGAGTATGGAAGAAGTGAATGTGTTCAGATATTTGGGAGTTGACTTGTCAGCAGATGGATTTATGAAGGATGAGGTTAACCATAAAATTGATGAAGGACAAAAGGTGAGTAGTGCATTGAGATATCTGTGGAGACAAAGAACATTATCCATGGAGGAAAAGAAGGGAATGCACAAGAGTATAGTGGTACCATCACTCTTAAATGGGTGTGATGCATGGGTTGTAAATGCTGCAGCATAGAGGCAGCTGGAGTTAGTGGAGATGTCCTGTCTAAGGGCAATGTGTGGTGTAAATATAATGCAGAAAATTCATAGTGTGGATATTAGGAGGAAGTGTGGAGTTACTAAAAGTATTAGTCAGAGGGCTGAAGAGGGGCTGTTGAGGTTGTTTGGTCATTTAGAGAGAATGGAACAATGTAGAATGACTTGGAGAGCATATAAATCTGTAGAAGGAAGGCGGGGTAGGGGTTGATCTCAAAAAAGTTGGAGGGAGGGGGGTAAAGAAGGTTTTGTGGGCGAGGGGCTGGGGCTTCCAGCAAGCGTGCGTGAGTGTGTTAGATAGGAGCGAATGGAGACGAATGGTTTTTGGGACCTGACGAGCTGTTGGAGTGTGAGCAGGGTAATACTTTGTGAAGGGATTCAGGGAAACCGGTTAGCCGGACTTGAGTTCTGGAAATGGGAAGTACAATGCCAGCTCTTTAAAGGAGGGGTTTGGGATATTGGCAGTTTGTAGTGACTATCTAAACTGTTGTATCTGGGTGCCTCTGCAAAGACAGTGATTATGTATGTGTGATGGTGTAAGTGTTTAATGATAATGAAAGTTTTTTCTTTCTTTCTGGGTTTTTCTTTCTTTTTTGGTCACCCTGCCTCGGTGAAAAATGGCCAACACGTTTAAAAAAAAATGATAAAGCAAAGAGTGGTGTGAATATAATGCAGAGAATTTGGAAAGTAGAAATTAAAAGGTGACATAGGATGACCAAATGTATAATTCCAAAGACTGAGTGGGTTCTTGAGGTTATGTTGGCATGCAGAGAGGATGAATTGGGATAGGCTGATGAAAAAGGTGTATAAATCTGAGGTGAAAGGGGAAGGGTTGGAGGATTAGGGTACAAGTGGCTTTGAGGTTTAGGGGCTTGAGCATCTAGCAGGGATGCTTAAGCTTATTAGATAGGAGTGAATAGAGAGAAGTGGTTTTTAACCCTTTGAGGGTTTCGGACGTACTAGTACGGCTTACGACCCAGGGTTTTTGACGTACTAGTACGCCTAAATTCTAGCGCCCTCAAATCTAGTGGGAGAAAGCTGGTAGGCCTACATATGAAAGAATGGGTCTATGTGGTCAGTGTGCATGGTATAAAAAAATCCTGCGGCACACAGTGCATAATGAGAAAAAAAAACTTTGACCGTTTTTTTGGAATAAAACAGCGACTTTGCACTGTATTTTCGTATGGTATTTATTGTTGTATTCTAGTTTTCTTGGTCTCATTTTATAGAATGGAAGGCATATCACAGAAATTGAGATGATTTTGACTGGTTTTGCAATGAAAAGTACCTTGAAATTGAGCTCAAAGTAGCAGAAATGTTCGATTTTTACCAAAGTTCAAAAGTAAACAAATCATGCCAAGCGTCCAATACACGTCAACTGGTAAGTCTAATATTCTTTTGCGAGTGCGCCAATATGATTCATACCATTTTTTACACTAATGCAGTAGTCTGCATAACAGTAAATCTTCTATTTTTTGTGAGAATAAAAATTCAAAGTGGAAAGCAAAAGAATGTAAGAGGGGCCTTGAGACGTGACTAATGAACAGAGAAAATGTCATTTTAGTGCCAGGAATGTATTTCTTGTTTGTTCTGGACCCTATTCGGAAATTGGCATCTTTTGAAATTTGTGTGAAATTGGCAAAATTGCTAAATTCTGACCACTTTACTGGATAGTTGAAATTGGTAAATGGGTGGTTTCTTGCACTCATTCAATAGAAAAAATGGAGTTCTAGCGAAATATTAATGTTTTTTGTCGACTAGTAGTGGAACTGGCCGAAAATGGGGCTCAAAGTGGGCAAAATCGCCGATCCGTAAACATCGCTGAGATCGCTAACTTCACGAGAGCATAATTCCGTAAATTTTCCATCAAATTTCATATTTTTGGTGTCATTATGATCGGGAAAAGATTCTCTATCTTTTCACGAGAAAAATTATTATTTTTTTTTTTTTTAAATTTGGCCGACCCTGAGAACGAGTCTCGGAGAGGGCCTGTCGACCCTCAAAGGGTTAATGGATGTGCTGTTAGAGTGTGAGCAAGGTAACTTTTATTAAGGGAGTCAGGGAAACTGGTTAGACAAACTTGAGTCCTGGAAGTGGGAAGGGCAGAGCCTGCACTCTGGAGAGGTGGGGACGTTACAATCAGAGGTGCAATCTGATGGCGATTTAGTGAATATTCTTGAATGTGTTTTCTTCACTGGATTACCCTACTTTGGCATGATATGGTTGTTGTGGTATAAACTTAGAGAGATATGACACTTGAAACAAAAAAATCTATTCAATTTCAAGTATGGCAAGAAAACAATGCTAAGTGGCCAAAGTTTTACCTATCAGAAATATGTTGTTTACTGCTTAATACTTGATAAATTAACTGAAGAGCTTGAGTAGCTATAGCAAAGTTGACAAGATGACACAGCTTATATAATGTGTTGAGCTGTTCTTCTAAAGCACTGCCCTCCAGTCGTGAGTATGGAAAGGCTCGGTTGATTCCACGTAGTAAGGCACTCATAAGTTTTGTGTTCACCTCTCCCTAAAAGAAATTTTGAAATGTAATTAAAACCATTAGAGTACGTTACTCTGAAAGACAAACAAATAAAACTAATTAGATAAATTATTGCACAAAATTTTATTTACTCCTTTTCGTTAATGTGCACTATCAATACAATTTACACAGAAAAATACCAAAGTTTTTAAGACATAAATTAAGCTAACTAATGAATGAATTATGGTATAGGTGTTTCTTTCTTTGTGTTGTGCTATCTTGATAGAAAAAAGCCAAAATGGAAAAAAAACAATAACAGAGCACTCATTAAAACTGTAAATTATATATTATTATTAACACATTGGCTGTTTCCCATCAAGGTAGGGTGGCCTGAAAAAGAAAAAAATTCATCTTCATTCACTCCATCAGTGTCTTGCCAGAGGCATGCTTACACTACAGTTATAAATCTGCAACATTAACACCCCTCCTTCAGAGTGCTGCAGGTAGCTGAACATAGCATTCACAGGTTACTCTAAGTTAAATTGCCAGTGTATACCTACACTACTTGCAGTACTGCATATGTAAGACTTAATGAATTTAAATAATCTATGGACTTTAGTCCTGGAGGTGGGAAGTACAGTGTCTGCAATCTAAAGGAGGGGTTTGGGATATTTGCTGTTTGGAGGGACATCTAAACTGTCATATCTGCACACCTCTGACAAGATAATGATAGTGTGAATGATGATGAAAGTGTTTGTTTTTCAAGTCACCCTGCCTCAGTGGGTGAAAGACCACAAGTTAAAAGAAAAAGAAAACATCAAACAATCATTTTCATGGAACCCATAAAGAAATTCACAAATGAACAAGTCAGTACAGCACAGTGTATCAAACTCAATATTGCAAAATATTTTAATAAATTTCATTAAAGGTCAAATGTTAATAATTGTAGATTGTATGATTGCAATGATCACTCAATTAACCAGAGCTTGACCAAATTTACATTAACCATTTACTTTGCCATTTGGCATACATAGTGTTGTAAAGCATGGTGAGGGTGCCAGTTCAGACAAACAAGCGGCTTAAAAATTCGTTGGGGAATTCAAATGTTATGTAGAGTCTGAAAAATTCCAACTCCAACAAGTGTTCATTTGTGACGAAATAGGCCTCTTTTAGAAGAAAATGCCAAAGAGGACCTACATTACTCAGGAAGAAAAGGCACTCCTAGGACACAAGCCTATGAAAGACAGGCTAACTCTCTTGTTGTGTGGTAATGCTGGTGGGGATTTCAAAGTGAAGCCTTTACTGGTGTATCACTCTGAAAATCCCAGAGTGTTCAAGAAAAACATTGTTAAGAATAAATTGTGTGTGATGTGGAAGACAAACAGTAGGGCATGGGTCACAAGGGAAATTTTCCTAGAATAGTTTAATGAAGTGTTTGGCCCCAGTGTGAAAAAATACCACCTGGATAAGAAATTGCCACTCCAGTGCCTCCTGTTAACCCTTTGACATGTCAAAAGGCCCAACCTGTCTTGGCCCGCAAAATATGAAAAATGAATTATTTTTTGG